CAAGCTGTCATCTACTTTTAAAGTTTCAACAGCCACCAATATGACTGACTCTCAGATGCCACTCCTCCTTCCAGACCCAAATATTTATATGCTTATCAAACAGCTCTAATTAGAAGTCCCACAGGCAACAACTAATCTAACACTGAATTAACCATCTTCTCCCCAACCAAACTCCTACTACCCTACACCTTCACAAATAGCAGCATTATGTACCTAGATGTCCAGAACAGAATCCTAAGCTTGGTTCTGACTCCTCTAACTTCTTCCCATGTGTTTCAGAGCCCACTTCTCTGCCACTGACTTATTTCAGGACACCAGCTGTCTTTCCTGGACTAATACAACAGTCTTCTATTGATCACTATGTCTGCCTCTTCTCCACTATGGCCAAGTAGCTTTTTCTAAAAAATCCAAATCTGATTATCGAATGTCACTTCCCTAATTAAAACTTCACTGATTCCCACTGCACTCAGAATAAATTCAAGATTTTTTTAACTTGGATTACAAGGCCCTTCCTAATCTGACACTCAATTAATCTATTCAGCTCTATGTACTGCATCTCCCACTAACTATGCTCTATTTGTTTGAAATGATCAATTCCCTAAACCTATTGTCTTTGTTTTCTTGTCTCTGTATGGGTATGTCTGTCCCTACTTCCTCCAGGCCTTCACACATGTCCCTCCTGCTAGAAACATTTCTCCTCTAGATTTTAGCTAAGAAATTATTTCTTCTGTTCAGAGAAGTCTTTCTTGACCTCCATAATACATCTTCCCACTCATATCAATATTTGAGACCGTATTCACATTAAACTTCAAGCTTTTGAGGATTACACCCTGTCCTGCTCATGGCATTATCCCCTGGATCTGGATACCTGGCACATAGCAATATATCAATAAATACGGAATGCATTAGTAAGATTCCATTCAAACTCAAAAAAAATTATTACCTCCCTAAATTTCTGTTCAAACATCATTATCACCTTTTAAAACAGTCCTTAAAATTCCAAGAGTTTTCTTTTGATATCTAGACACTTGCAACCGCCTTTCCTGACAGAGAATTTGAACATATTTTAATACTAACCCAAGAGAAATATATTATAAAAAAGACTATGAATGGAAATCAGCCAAAAACACAAATACCACACACACCAGTTTCTAATTTCTATAACAAATATGCATTCATTCAACAACTTTAGAGAAATATTAAACTAAGGTCTCTTTTACAACTGAGGTACTATATTCTCATTAAGTATATGAATGCCTTCTATGCACAAAACTTTGGAATCCTATACTAGCAAGCTCTTGTCTTCTCAGAGTACTCTCTATTCCCTCACAATTCGTCCTTACCTCCTGAATGACCATTTTTACCAATTTTAGTGTCTATGTATCTCTTATCTCAATAATTATTCTGACTACATCTGTGCATTTTATATATATATGGCTAGATGTCAGCCCAAGTTGCTGTTTATGGGTAATGCCATACTTTTAAACATTTTTTTTAGTTTAAAACATTTTTTAAATTGTATTTATGGAATTACCTTTAGATCCAGCAGCATATTCTTTCTTCATATTTTGGGAATCGATATGACCTTTCTTACATGACTTTTGATTTTTAAAAAATTACATAATTTAAATTTATTGGAGTGACACTGATTAATAAGATCATACAGAGTATCAAATGTACATTTCTATGATACAGGATCTGTATATCATTATCAGCAGTCTTTCAAGGCCATATATGATGAACATCAAGGGAGATCAAATAGTAACATAAAATGCGGTAGACTATAAAGAAACAAGGCTAGTTTTCTATGCAACTTCAAATGATTCTAACAGCATCCATGGTAAAGGTGTATAACTTCTCAATATTATTACTTCAAAAAACCATCATTTCCCTTGTCTACCTGCTTATCAAAGAGTTTGAGCATGGAAAAATACTTCTGACGCAATGTCAACTTAAAATTTCAGAATTCTATAATAAAAAAGAAAAAACATGAATATTAAAAAATTCTGGAATTCTAAATTATGTATATTATGATCCACAATGTATTTAAAAAATAAAAATATGTAAACAAGAATTGGAAAATATAAAATAAAAAATATTGCTGTGGCCCTGGCCAGTGTGGCTGAGTTGGATGCAGCATCATCCCATAATCAAAATTGTAGGTTCAATTCCCAGTTGGGGCGCATGCCTGGGATGCAGGTTTAATCCCCAGTCAGGGCGCTATGATCCTGATCCCCAACTGTGCATGTGTGGGAGGCAAGCAGTTGATGCTTTTCTCTCTCATAGATGTTTCTCTCTCCCTTCCTCTCTCTCTAAAAGCAATGAAAAAGAAAATGTCCTCAGGTGAGTATAAAAATATATATAATTGTTATGAGAATTGGATTATTTTTTCCTTTTTTCAAAAGTATTACATGCCCTGGCCAGGTGATTCGGTTGGCTGGAGGAGTGGCCACCAATTCTCCAAAGGTTGCAGGTTCCATCCCCTGTAAGAGCACACATCCGGGTTGTTGGTTTGATCTCTACTGGGGAGCTTGCAGGAGACAACTGATCAATGTCTCTCAGATCAATGTTTCTTTCTCTCTTTCTTTTCCTCTCTCTCTACCCCTCAAACCTCCTCAAGTCAATAAACACATCCTCCAGTGAGAATTTTTAAAAAGTATTTCATGTTGTGGTAGCTTTTTAGTAATTTTTTAAAAACCAGTCATTACTTCATACTCATATAGAGATGTTCTGTTTAGTAAGATCACTTAAAACTCTTTGAATTTTCTATTCTATTTCTAAATGCCACAAAAAAGGTTAGGACTCACATTTTTAAAAATGCATTGCTTTTACCAGAATGCTGAGCTTCCAAATAAGTAAAATCCAGGTAAGTAAAATGTTCTGAAATCAGAGCATAAGCTTATGCTCTGATTAATTCATCCAAACAATGGATAAATACATAAATATCAAATACACTTTTATCATAAATACTAAAATTTAAAATATACGTGGACACAACCCCAAATTTTATTTTTAGGATACATGAAAAAGACTAATGAGGCCTATCATGTTCCTAATAGTTAATCACTTCTTATTAAAAAAATCCCCAAAATTATTCATAGAAATTCATAATACATTAAGAACAATCTACAGTATTTTCCCTTTTGCAGACTTTCAGATACCATGGTCCACTGAGGGTCTCCAACTTGATTCAGAAATAGAAAGGCCTGTGACCAAGAAATAAGTCGTGTACGCTAGCAGACAGAAACGGAATTAAAGCAAGTAAGTGAGTTACTTTATCTCACCAGACTCTGGGTTTTGTCTGTATCTAATAAAAATGTTGTGCCAGAAGAAATAATGTGAGAATAAAACAATCTGAGTTCCTGAAGGAGTGGGTGGTAGTTAGCACAAAAACTTAAATTAAACTGATCGCATCTTAAACCACCTCTAAAAAACCTCAATAAAAGGGATGAATAATATTCAATATCTGATTCACTACAGACTCTAACATAATCAACATTATTAACTTACATACCCAAGAATTTTCTAATTTTCCCCAATAACAGTAATCTGCTTAGCCATTGGGAAATGCATCACATCTTTAACATAACGATACAATCGCCAAAGTTTAAAAATATTAAGAAAAGTTATTCCACTCCTCATCCCAATTTAATTACAAATTTTACTTTACCAACTTTGATGTGATGTTTCATACCCAGAAGCTAATGCATCAACTAGCTAGCTATTATTGTAGCACAAAAGATAAAACTAGCTTTAATTATAAAACAACATTCATATAACCTGTAGTAGTTAAAACAATGTAAAATTTTACTTAACCAGATCTTGCACGTCAAATACTACGAACATTAACAGTGTAACTGTTGTCGTCTGCATCTAATAAATTACCAGATAGGGTATAGATTTGCTATGGGAGAAAACTAACATTCTGACCTCCTTCCAAAATGACAAACTAGAACGGCAAAATTACACTCGGCACATGGAGTACACTTCTCTCAAATCACTCCACAGAGAACATCATTTGCTCCGCCCTCTAATAACTCATGCAAAAAAAAGTTCAGCACCATCAGAGAGAAACAAGTAAGAGAATTCACAGAATGGCTTAGGGCCTTTCCTCCAGACGGTTAGAGGTTCTGCATGTGCCCTTCGCAGAAGTCCAAAGAAAAAGAAAAAGAAAAACCGAGGGTTTGGAGGGCATGACATCCAGAAACTGGTTTTCTCTCAAGAAGTTTCTGCCGCCATCCCTATGTTATCAGCAGAAGGCCCCGCCGCCATAGTCTCAGTCTATGATTTTATTATGAGGAGGTGGGACACGCCATCCAGGATTCTTCCAGGCCTTCCCTACTAAGATGGGGGGGGGGGTCCCCCGTAATTCTTCTCTTAAAACCTCGGTCTTGAAGGTACTCCTCAGCACCCCTCCCCCCATTTCTGGCGGCCTATCCCGCGGGAACCGTCAAAGCGCTGCCCGAACCCACCAGCCTCGCGTTTAAGGCGGGAGGGCCGGAACACGCCAGGGCCACAGCGAAGGCTTCGAGGGGCCCAGAAAAGGGAAGGGCAGGCCAGGGACAGAGGGAGAATGCCCAGGCCGAGGAAGACAGGAAGAAGGTAGTGAGGGGATGCACTGCACCCCATCGATGCACGGAGAAGACATGATGAAGGAGGGCGGTGGCCTGGGTGCGGGGCCCCCCCCACCTCACCCGCCCCCAGGTCCCTTGGCCGGCGGGCGCGAAAGGGCTCGGGCCGGATCTGGGCTGACAGGAGGTGGAGAGTGTCCCTCCACACTACAAGGAGACCGAGAATGAGGGTTTGGGGTGCGCAGGGGGGTGCAGTCTGCCGCCTGAACCCGGACACCCGACGCCGTCGTCGCGTCTTCCTCAGGAGAGAGGACGGGAGCTGTGGGTAAAGCCCGAGGGAGTAATGCATGAAGGTAGAGGGAGGCCTGGGGCAGACCGGCCGCCCGCTCCAGACCCCACTCTCCACCTTCCGGTAACCGCGTCTCTTACCGGTGATGGCGGTGAACTGCTGAATTAACCCCTTCAGCGCCGAGGACGCCGCGGAGCCGCCGTGGGCAGCCATCTTACCGCCGCCGCCGCCGCCGCCGCCGCCGAACAACAACACAGACTCACACGGACGACCCTCCCCCACCTCGCCGAGCGGTCTGCGCAGGCTTATTGACCCCAAGTCCCGCCCCCAAAGCCCCGCCCCCTAGCGGCGATTCGCGCATGCGTGCTTCTAGAACGGTTCGAGAGCGGGTTTTTCCTGGTTGGCTGAGCGGTTGCTGTCTGAGACCGCATCCTTCTTTGTAACCTTCGGTGTCCTGCGCTCCTGGCTCCAGTGCCATTCGGTTTCCGATTTCCGAAGGAAACTTCGGGCTCGGTAGGTAGTAGGTTCTTCACGTTTAAGTTTCACAGACCCAACTACCGATGATAGTTTTCTTTTTTCTTTTTGCAGCTCTGCTAGGTTTCCTGTAGCTCCCATCAAAATATAAAATTCTACATAGTTGTACCAAAGAGACTTTTGCACCTGCTTCCCAATCTCTAAACTAATTGCTAGATAACCTAGTGTGGCAACCCATCCAACAGAAACAAATGAAAAAATATTATACTTTGAATAATGAAAAATTGAAGTTTTATTTTTTATACTTTTTCTCATGGAAAATTGAACTTTTAGATAACGAAGGACAAATATCCCAAAACTAAACATCAGTTAGTATTTGAATTATTTCACTAATTTACTCTAGTATTTTGTTTGTAATTTTATTTCTGCTTTTAAGATTCCCTGTCTCAAAACAGTTTGTAACATATTACTGTAATTTATAGAGTGGATGAGCTAGAAGAGGTATTTAAGATAATCTGATTAAACAATTGCATTTTGCTATGACTCTTCTGAGATTCAGAGAGTTAGAGTTGTTTAAGGTCATACAATTTTAGGGTAGGCCTGGAATCCAAATATAGTGGTATCCTGCTACTGGTCATTAATGTGACTAGTGCTGAAACCGACAAGTACCAAGCAAGCCCTTAGTGCTGAAAAATTTTTTTCTTGTCAAAATGCAATGAGTACAGGGTTTGACAAATTCTGAAGCCTATAAGTACTGAGGTATGACTGTACCTTGAATCCTAGATAAATGTACTTGTAATTTATTTTTTTATTTTTTAAAAGATTTTATTTATTTATTTATTTATTCTTAAAGAAAGGAGAATGGAGGGAGAAAGAGGGAGAGAAACAACAATTTGTGGTTGCCTTTGGAGCACCTCACCCCCTCCACACTGGGATCCTGGCCTGCTACCCAGGCATGTGCCCTGACTGGGAATCAAATTGGTGACCCTTTGGTTTGCAGGCTGGCACCCAATCCACCAAGCCACACTGGCCAAGGCTTTGTACTTGCAATTTATTTTTTTAAGATGTTACTTATTTTTAGGGAGACGGGAAGGGAGAGAGAAAGAGGGAAAGAGACATCGACTGGTTGCCTCTCACACACGCCCCAACTGGGGACCAGGCCTGCAGCCCAGGCATGTGCCCTGACCAGGAATCAAACGGGTGACCTTTTGCTTTGTGGGACAGTGCTCAACCAACTGAGCCATGCTGGTCAGGGCTGTACTTGTAATTTAAAATGGCACTATTTCTTTTGTTTAAAAGAAGAGATAATTAGATTACATAGTTTTAAAAGTCCATCTGAATGCTGTTGACACAAGATATACCTAAACATAAAGTTAAGGAAAAGTTGAAGGGAAAAGTAAAAAAGATATATAGAGATAGTATTAAAGAAATGAAAGCTGGAGTAGCTTTCAGACAAAATAGACCTTATTTTTTAAAAACCTATTTTATTTATTTATTTATTTAGAGAGGAGAAGGGAGAGAAACATTGATCAGTTGCCTCTCTTACATGCCCCAACTGGGACTGGACCTGCAACCCAGGCATGTGCCCTAACTGGGGAATCAAACCAGCAACCTTTTACTTGGTGGGATGGTGCCCAGCCAACTGAGCCATACTGGTCAAGGCTAGACAAAATAGACTTTAAAGCAAAATGTATCATTAGAGATAAAGAGGGTCAATATATAAAGACCAAAAAAACCCCAAATTACCAAGAAGATTAAATAATTGTAAACACGTATATATTTGACAACATAGTCTCAAGCATATATATAGTAATGTTTAAAGAAGAAATTTGACAGATACACAATTATACAACCCCCTTCTTTCAGGCAAAAGTAGTAAAGATATAGGAAATACTCATTTTATTTAAGTACATGTGGAACAAGATACAAATTGACCATAAAGCAAGTCTCAACAAATATCAAAGAATCATTATAATAGCATACTCTCAAAATAAAGATTGGTTAAATTATAAATTAGTTTAAAAAGAATAACTTAAAAACTCATACATGACTTGGAAAGTTGAAAACAAACTTCTAAACTAATGGACCAAAGACAAAATAAAAACGGTGTATCATTCCAAGTCCCAACAAGTAATAATGATCACTTGAATGATGTATAAAGGAACAAATTGTAAAGGTGTGGGAGAAATATATGGGAATCAGGGGACAGTGGAGGATTGGTGACTAGTAGGAGTAGGATAAGTCATAACCTCCAGGTCCAAAGGGACAAGTTGGACTACAATCCCAAAGTTGGAAGAATGTTAAGGCCATTTTTAAAGAAGCAGACCTTCTGTCAGGTCTGCTTCTTAAAAAGAAGAGACGTGATCAGTTTGAGCAATCTCCCAGAGAAGAGACCAAAGAAATAAATACTCTGACCTTGCTTTTCTTCTCTGTCACTTTCTGTTGGAAATCCCCACTGGCAGAACCCAACCAGAAGGTAGCGGGCACAGTAGCCTATTGCTAGAGTCTGTACAATCGGCCTGTGGAACAGAACAAAGAGGAAATGAGTAGATCTGGAATGGCAAAGGGAAGTTGATGGACACAAATGGAAAGTGGAAAATATTTATAACTGAATGGTCATGGAAATACATATCAAAATTTGTGGAATGACGTTTTAACAGTATCTAAAGGAAAAATATGTAAACGTAAATGTTTATATTAGAAAAGACCAGAAAATGAGTAGCTCAATCAAGAAGTTAAAAAAAAGTTAATAAAGGAACATCAGGTTAAACCTATAGAAATTTGAAGAGAAAATGCAGAAATCACTAAAAGAAAATAACATACAAAAGAAAGGATTTATAAAACCAAAAGCTGGTTGTCTGAAATAAGTAAAATTTAAATCCTTTGACTAATTAGATTAAGAAAAAGACAATATTAAGAATGAAGAAAGGGAGATAGCAGATACGGCAGTGATTTTTAAAACTAAGAATATTATGAACAATTTTACACCAATGAATTAGGAAAAAATAAATGTCAATTTCCTGGAAAAATATAATTTACCCAAACTGACGCAACTATGAGTAGACTTATGATTAATGAAATTGAATCCACCACACAAACAACCACATCCAGATGGTTTTATAGGTGATTTCTACAAGAGAAAAAAATTAAGAATCAGATGATCTCGAATTTATACAAATTATTTCTGAGAAAGAAACAAAGGGGGGGGGGAAACTCTTTCTGTGAGGCTAGAATAACCTTAATATCAAAACCAAGCAAAACAGTAAATGAAAGCCCAGCCTTATTTAAGGTTACTAAAACAAAAATGTTAAGCTAAACCAAAATTTAGAAATCCAGTTACACACTTACACATACATACATACATGTGTACATTTATTTTTAATTGGATTTATCTCTGGAATACAGGGACACTTTTATAATATAAAGAGCCTTAAATGTAACACATGATAGTAGAATAAATAAGAGAAACCACTTGATCTATTTGATGAGATACAGAAAAATCAATGATACAAATTAATACGCCTTTAACAAAACAACAAAAACGCTTTAACAATCTAAGTAGAGAAAGAAACTTTTTTAGCCTGGAAATGGTATTTACTAAAAACAGAGTAAAAAGCATTATACTTGATAATAAAACATTTAAAGTCAAGAACAAAATAAGTATGAACTCTATCACTATTTCTATTTAACAATGTAAGTCCTAGCCTTAGCAGTATGGCCAGAAAGAATATATAAAATAATTTTAAAAGAAGAACAAAATAATTGTAGACTATGTGATTATTTACATAGAAAATCTAAGAAAACCAGCAGACCAATTTTGGAACCAATAAAAGAGTTCAGGTACATTTCTGAATATGAAACCAATATACATATTAAAAACTGTATTCCTAAACAAGAGCAGCAGATAGTTTGAAACTATGATTTAAAAAATATCTCATTCCTGTCCTGGCTGGTGTAGCTTGGTTAGAGTGTCATCCCATGGACCAAAGGGTCATGGGTTTGATTCCTGGTCAGGGCACATGCCTGGGTTGTGGATTCAATCCCTAGTTGGGGTGTGTGTCAGAGGAAAGCCAATCAGTGCTTCTCTCTCCTCTCTCTCTCTCTTTTCCTCTCTCTCTCTGTCCTTCTCTTCCTCTCTCTCTAAAAGCAACAAAAAAAAATGTCCTCGAGTGAAGATAAAAAAGATTTAAAAATTTCTCATTCACAGTAACAACTGAAGTGCAAAGTTTCTAAGCATAGATTTCATAAAATGTACTAGGTCTTATGAAGAAAATGATAAAATTTTATTGATAGGTATTAAATGAAGAAATCTATATTCATATATAGAAAGATAGTATTATAAAGATGCCTTGTGTGTGTGTGTGTGTGTAATTTAAAGTAATTCCAGTAAGAATCCCACAGAGTTTCTTGATATTTTAATAATGCAGTTTTTAAATTCAGGACCAAAGAAAGGATCAACAGTAGTCAAGACACTTTTGTAGAACAGGGTGGTAGAACAGGGTGGTAGTTTTGCCCTACTAGATATCTAGAACTATTCTAAAGTTAGAGTAACTGAGACTGTGTGGTATTGGTGGGGTACAGACAAAAAGAGTACAGAATAGAGCGTCCAGAAACTGACTTGAACATATGTGGACATGACAACAGTGACATTACAAATCATTACAGGAAAAGATGGACTAATGTATCTATGACCCTGGAGCCAAACAAAATTAGATCCAAACTCCATATGGTGTACAGAAATAAATTATAGATTTGTAAAAGATTTAGATAAGAACAAAAGCAAAACTTTACAACTTTCAGAAGAGAATATA